CCTTCATCACACCTGGCCCTATCTTCATCACACCTGGCCTTCGTCACACCTGGCCCTGTCCTTCAGCACACCTGGCCTTCATCACACCTGGCCCTCGTCACACCTGGCCTTATCTTCATCACACCTGGCCCTGTCCTTCAGCACACCTGGCCCTGTCCTTCGTCACACCTGGCCCTGTCCTTCGTCACACCTGGCCCTGTCCTTCAGCACACCTGTCCTTCAGCACACCTGGCCCTATCTTCATCACACCTGGCCTTCGTCACACCTGGCCCTGTCCTTCAGCACACCTGGCCCTGTCCTTCATCACACCTGGCCCTGTCCTTCAGCACACCTGTCCTTCAGCATGCCTGGCCCTGTTGTTCAGCCGATCTTGCGCTGTCCTTCAGCACACCTGTCCTTCAGCACGCCTGGCCCTGTCCTTCGTCACACCTGGCCCTATCCTTTGTCACACCTGGCCGTTTGCTTCAGCACGCTTGGCCGTGTCCTTCATCACACCTGGCCCTGTCCTTCGTCACACCAGGCCAGGCCTTCATGACACCTGGCCCGAGTGCCTCATGACTTGACACAGGCCCCAGGACCAAGGCCCTTAGCCAAGGTCACATGAGCTTGTCCACTGCACACCTGCTGGGCTCCTCCTAGCACCTGGCAGTGGGGTTCCACCTGGGAATGGGACAGAACCCAGGCCCTTAGGGGCAGTGACAGGGCATTGGCCTGCCCAGTTGCTATGGAGTCAAACTGGAGCCCTAGCCAGACTAGGGACCCCTGAGGTGCGCATGTGGGGTGGCCGGCCTGTGGGTTCCATCTCCGGCTCTGCTGGGGACAGGCTGTGGAGTGACAACTTTGGAGTCCTGGACATCTCTGGTGTTAAAGGCCTCTGAAGTGTACGTCAGCATGGTGAGATCATGTTATGTGAATTCTACCTCAATTTAAAGAAAAGCATTTCAGGGGCTTCCTGAGCCCCGAGTTCCTGACTGCTAGAATGACAGGGAGAGGGTGCCTGGAGCCACCAGTGTCCCGGTCTCACAGTGTCCCTGGATGGGTTGGGAGCTCCACTGTCCTTCTCTCTCCCTCAGAGGCCTCCCGACCTGCCAGGGCAGGGGCTGTGCACCTGGCACTCCACGTGCCCCTCAGGGGAGTGCCTGGGTTCGCTGGCAGGGGGAGACAGAGGGACCTGATATTGGGAGGAGAGTCCCCAGGGCCACAAAGGACCAAGTCCGAGAGCCCAAGCGAGGCGGAGCTCGGAGCTGGGGAGCCGAGGAGCGGCACACAGAGCCTCAGCGAGTGGAGGTGCCCTGCTGGCTGCAGCCCTAGGGAATCGGTTCCCCCAGGAGTGTGGACGTCCGACCTGCAGGAACTGTGCACACCACAGAGAGAACATGGTGGCAAGTCTGCCATGGAGTCCCTGGGAGTCACTCGCCCCAGTGGCCAGGTGCAGACCCGGCAAGGAGAGGACCTCTGCCCTGGTCCAGTGATGGGGAGTCAGCTCCCGAGACTTACAGGTGGGTCCCCTCTAGGCAGGGTGCAGGACCAGCCCCACAGGTGCCACCTCCTCCTCCCAGGGGGCATTCAGGGCCCAGTTCACTGGGGCCAACGAGCAGGGCACAGGAAGCCCACTCCGCCCAGGAGTCTCCAGTGTTCAGAGAACTTGCAGCCGGGCTCCGCACATGTCAATGAGCCAGGAGCGGTGCCGGGCCCTCTTGGCTTCGGTTCTGAAAGCCGAGGATCGCCACTTCCCTCCCTGTGCTCCACAAAGCACGGGCAGCCCTTCTGTTTCTCCAGGATGGTGCCCACGCCCCCGGCCCCTGCCTCGTGGTGCAGAGCCTGCTAAAGTGCCTGGGGTGGCCGGAGAAGGGGCAGCTCCTTGCTAGGAGGCTGTGGGCTTTATCTCACTGCTTCTAATTGCTGGCTCTAGGGAGGAGGACGAGTGGGGACAGGTAGTGAGTGGCACATGGTCACGGCTTCCCTGTCTGCAGAGGCAGCCTGACGTCCATGGGGACAGCAGGCCAGTGTGGCCCTAGGACGGCTTACAGGGGAACTGTGCTGTGGCCACAAAACAATGCTCTGATCACACATTGGAACCCTGAGGTGGTGAGAGAGAGAGACGTTGGAGCTGGCAGCAGGGCTCCGAGGAGCCGGCCGGATGTGTCTTTAAAACATAAGAAACAGGACCGGGGAGCGGGCTATTTTTAGAGCTGCCAGCCTCTCTCTCTCATTAGCGACTTGCACATCAGGACTGCTAATGAAATCATTTGCAATTAAGGCTCAGGTGGAGAGCGGCTCTGGCTGTCCTGAGAGGCCCCGCCCACTGCTGCAGGGAAGGGCCTCTGGGTGGCTCCCGCCCTGGTGGGCTCCTGCCCCATTTTAGCAGGAGTGCAGGCTGGGTCGCCTCCGGTCTCTGCTTTGCTCCTGCTCTGGCTTCGTCCCTTCAGGCTGGGGGTGTGGGAGGGTCTCTTCCCCTCCAAGCTGTCACAAAGCGGCTCTGGGCAGGAAAGGAGAGGGGAGGATCTGTGAGGCTGGCGGTGGGTCCCGGGTGCCCGTGTGGAGCTGTGAACCCAGGCAGTGCCCCCCGGAGGGGAAGGAGCTCTGGCAGAGAGGCCCCAGGGCCTTCTGGCCCCCGCCTGCCACGCAGCTTGGCAGGGCCGGTCTAGGCTGGTGTCTGCTTGTGGGTAGAACCTGGGTGCGGGCTGCTCCTGAGCTGGTGGGACAGTGAGGACGTGTGAAGACCGCGTGAACAGGAGGTTTCACGACCCACACCCCTCAGGACGGCTTTCTTCACCCTCTGTCCTTTTGAATTAAAACCATGCACATAAATAAAAAATGTCTTTGCCCCGACTGCCCACGGACCACCAGGAGGAAGACTTAGGGGGAGAGCGAGGAAGCAGACTCCCCCACACCCGGGGGCGG